ATGGGGAAGGGGCTGCTTCCTGCCCCACCCCAAGTTGTTTCCCTGCCTGGGTCCCCCCCGCCCTTCTCCCCCACCCACCTTACCTGCGGTTCTGGCACGGGGCAGCCACGTGCTCCCAGCCCAGAAACTGCAGCAGGGGCTTCCAGCTGGGGGCGGGGCCGAGCAGGCCGCTGTTATTGGAGCCTGCCAGGCTTCCCCTGGGTCTTACTGCCCTTGGTTCCAGTCATTTCTGACAGGAACTAAGGGCAGCAAAATATTAATTTTCTACCTTTTTTAGGGGCTCCGCAGGCTGGATAGAATGGCCTCCCAGGCCGCATCCAGCCCGCAGGCCATATTTTGCCCACCCCTGACATAAATGCTGACTGTGAGGGACCTATTTCCACCTTCCTTCATCTCTTAATAACTCTCCCTCCCTGAGTGTGGCTCCAAGGAAGTGCCCCCCCCCCCCACACACACACACACACCAGGTTGGCTTAGAAATTAATTGTTAGTTTTGAACAGTTAGTCTATTCTGCTATGTCTTCTAAGAAAATGGAGGGTACTTTAATTTGGTGGAGTCAGGCATCAACATAGCAGAACTTTTTCATGAATATATAGAGAGAACAGCTTTGCTATTATGATTCATGCAATGCTGGATGATGCAATATTAGTAATGGGAATGAATATTTTATATTTTACAGACATAGCTTAACTATATGGAAGAGTAAATATTCAGTATGCTAATTTTATTTTCAGATGAGCAAACTGAATTGAAATCAGACATTATAAAGACCCCAGGTAGTAGTTCATATATGCTCAGTGTAAAAGAGATCAGAATAAATAAAACTGATGTCCAGTGAATGGATTATAACTTTCTCACTATGCAATTCTTGCTCCATTTATCCTTTCCAGTATTAATGAATCGAGTTTATTTTAGGTGCCAACTTGCTATGTGTAGTGTTGTGCAAAAAAGGGGCAAAATTTTGTGTGAATTTGTTATGCAAAGAGTCTGTCATCTTTTGAAGTACAGTAACATTTACTATTATCCTATTTACGTAGTAGAAATCTGTTTTCCAGCAGAAGGAATTATAAGTTTTATTTTATGGTTGGTATGCTTATTATTTTGAATAATGAGGTGGTGTACTTAGCTGAGAATTTTTAATCTTAATAATAAGGTGTATCCATGATTTGCTGTGGGATAAAGGATCTCAAAAAAGAAAGCATTTCTCTAGTTACACTACATTAAATGTTACTTCCAGCTAAATTTATTTAACAGATTACCATGTGAAGATTTAGAGAATGATTCCACAGACAACTCGGGGGAAGAATTTACAATTGATAATGAATATGACCTTTCTAAAAGGTAAGTAGTATTTAATGTTGTTATATATTTTTTAGAAATATTGGAAATGACAGTGTTTTGACTATTACACATCCTGTGGTGCCATGTTTACTTAAAGAGGTAGTCGTTAAGACAAAAATCACATTTTTAAAACTTATTATGATCTTGCAAATAGCTAATTGTATACTTCTAAATAAAATAATTGTAAATGTTCTTTTTTTTTCCTTTGTGTAACATGCTTACTTTTAAATTTCTTGCAGGATAGACCGTGCTTTAGGCTGGTCCGACTTGCTCATAATTTCTTTTTGATTCTCATGTGCTTGCACAATCCGGTTCTTATTTCTAATTCTGTAGAGTACTTTTATAATCTGTCTATATTTACATTTAAACTCCTTAATCTTAGGTTTTCTATAACCTTTCCCCTCCTATACTCATATTTTTAAAAATGAAATTAAACATGTTTGGCATCTAAATTACCAACTATGTTTTAAATCATATGTTATATTTATGCACACACTATTTGTCTTTATTCATTTAGTTTTTCTTCAGTTAAACATTTGAAAAATGTGTCTCTAGCAGAGGATATATTGGGTATCACAGATGAATGTGATGCTGGGTCACAAGATGACTTTATAGAAAGCTTTGAGGAAACAACTCATGATATGACTCTGGATGACGCCCAGGATATTTCTCATGAAAAAATGCACATTGTATATGATCACTGCCTTCTTCAACTAGCAACAAAGATTGTTATGCCAAAATGTTTATTTTGTGCTGGTGAAGTTGATGTTTCTATACAGCCTGTTTCTTCCTGCGTGCATTTGATATGGGTGAGTAATATACCTTGTTAATCTCTGTCCATTATACTGTAACTGTTTCACAATAATTTATCATTTTAATTTTTTAAGGACCTGCTCAGATCTGCCTGAGTAGGCCCTTGTGGAATGACAGTGACTTAAATGTGACTCCATACAAGTACCTGCAGATAATCTCATTGAGGTCAGCGGAGTTCTGCAAAAGTCCACCCATATAGACCAGATTACATTGTTGTTCTTTTTTACTATAGTTTGGCCTTGACTCTGCATAGCTAACTTTTATGACAAATTTTCAGTTACTCATGTAAGTAATCCTATTTACGAAATGACTGCTTTCATGAGTAAAGGTTTACAGGAAATAAGCTTTTTTTTGTTATAAGAAGAGTACTTTTCTGTATGTATATTTATTATAGAATGTATTATCAAGTGGACGCAAGTATCTTGAATTGGACCCCAAATTTATATATTGTCAAATTAAACTTTAAAAAAACCAGGATGATAGAAATTTCCACAATTAAAAAAATTACTATTGTGTTGTAGTGCCTGGCTTTCCTAAACAAATGAATCTGAAAATGAAAGTGACCAACTGTTTTAATTGAAAGTGCACTTTAGCACTTTAAAACTTTCCAGATAGTTTTAAAATGGTATTGGTTGTTAATATCCAAACAATACATCGTATGGCCTCACCATCTTTTTTTCCCTCTTTGTTTTTGCTTAACCTCAACTATATTTAGAAATGTAGTGCAGGACATGTAGCATTTGAATGGTCTTCCCAACCTTTGATAAAAGGACAGATATATGCAGGAGACCTTGCATTATCTTCTGCAGTCATACTATCAGGAAACAATTTTGGAAAAATTTCACAAATGGCAAACTTTATGAAGTTGACATTCACAAGTGCAAATACGTTCTTCGGACTGCAACGCCATTTTATTGTTCCAACAATAGAATCCTTCTGGTGTCGTATGAAGCAACACATTTTGGAGGAACTACATGGGAAGGAGGTGGTCATTATGGGTAAATAAAGCCTTTCAAAACTTAATTAAACCTTATTCAAGTTTTATCTTTGATTTTCAAATGTTCTTATTACACTTGTTAAATAAAATCAAGGTTACTTTTTCTATTACTTAAAATAAAACTTCTTTCTAATTCTCAATGTGCAGGAGATGGACACATGGATGGACCTGGCCACTCTGCACAGTATTGTGTATATTCATTCATGGACTTAGAAACCAAACAAATATTAGGTGTTGAAATTGTGGATAAACGTAAAACACAACTGAATTCCCCTTTTATGGAGAAGGAGGCCTTCCGGAGAGCATTACAAAAGTTGTTGGATGAACAGCTAATGGTCAAAGAAGTGGTTACTGAAGCACATGCTCAAATTTCAGCTCTGATAAGTAATTGTTCTGTTTATCCATTCTTAACTTTTTACTAATATTTTACAAACTTACATGAGCTGTATACAGTGTACTGTTGGATGGTTTAAACTAGTCCATATTTGATTGAGCTGAAAATAATTTTTTTTTAAATATCTGCTGACCTTTTAGATTTTGTTGGGATTGGGGAAGTAACAAAAATACATTATACAGGTGTCTTTGGGGGAGGAGGGGCTTGTTACATAACGTGTGTGTGTGTGTGTGTGATGCTGCTCTTGGGTGTCAACTGCGGGCTTTCCAGCAGCTTACTACTTGAAGATCAAGAGATTTAAGAGTTTGCCCCAAGGGCCTGGGTCCTGCATCCCTTTTCAAAAATAAGTAATTGACTGTGAAAGTAACATTGTCAGCTTTTAGCTTTAACACTATGCACAAAGTGATCTTAAAATACTGTGTTTTCTCTCATACCATGTGCCCCCAATAACATGGACACGTTGTTTTGGGATGGTAGAAGGAAGAAAAATATTTTTCTGTTGTCATGGCTGAATGCTGACCACACGAAGTAGAGACAGAGTCCACTCTTCAGCATCACTTGCCACTCCCTGGCTGCTGTGCCAAAAGCTAAAGTTTTAACCTCACCATTGTTGACAAATTGGTATCAGATTTTGGCTGCTTAGCTAAAAGCTATGGCTAATTCAGCAGTGGCGGAGAGGGTTGAAACTGTAGCTCTGATGCTGAAGTGTGGGCTCTGCCCATGGTGCATGGTTGCAGGGAGAGAAGCACAGACCTTGGCAGCCACTCCAGCATCTCCATGCTTCCGTTCTGGTACAGAAATCAGCCTCCACACTTGGGACACACACCTCAAATAGAAAGGGTGGAAATAGGAGGTAATGATATTTAATTTTCAGGTTTCTAAAATAGTTTTTGCTCAAGCTCATTTGAAATGGGTGGATTGTATGTGCAAAATGGAATTATTTCAATTTGAAAATGCTGCTGCCATGCCCCATGGGAGTTATCATTAGGTGTTTCAAGTTCTCATTCTCCTCTGTAGACTGATATTGCAACCAGGTAGCCATCTCATGATGCATCAGTTTCCCTGCTTGCAGAGGGAAGGTGGTGTACCTTAGGAGTTAAAGTCCGGTTAAGGAGGCTGACTCAGAGAACAGAATGCAGACTTGAAGTACCAAAATGTAACTTCCATAAGGTGCCACCAGAATATTTTGAATACTCACAATAGGGCTACTGATGTTCCTTGTAAATTAGAAGAGTTATTGCATATAACCATGACATTGGTTCACAGTAATTCTTCTTTATAGAACTGAGTTTTCCTTTTGGTGTAAAAAGTACTGAAACATAGTACTTTTCTTTTGTTTAAATCACCTTTATAAAATCTACTTTTTAAAAACTATGTACTTTTATTATGTTGGGGAAGGTACAAAAGAGTGGCATGGGTATTTAGCTAGCTGCTATGGCAAATACTGTGTGTTATTCACATGTGTAAATTTCTGTAGCGATTGTTGAGTCTTAAATAGGTTATATTTTATATGCTCTGCTAATGTACTATAATTTAAATTTAGCAGGAAAAAACAGATGCGTTTGTCTTGTTGCCCTTCAGTTTATTCATAACCCCTATGTAAAATTAACTAATGTAATTCATATATCTATATTGACAGAAAAGAAATTTCCTTATGTCATCCATTCATATGATATATGGGGTGGTGCCAAAAACCTTGGAAACAAATTAATTGAGGTAATATTCCTCAGATAAGTATAGAATAATTGTGTATTTTTGTAGTTTCTTACAGTGGTATAGTTGATCATTGTGCATTTGTAGTACAGTATTAATAGGATGCAGAGTTTATAACGGGTTCAGAGCAAGCCCAGGTCAGCAGTGGTGTAAAATGTGATCACTAATGACTGTGGAGCCAGATATAGGATGATCATGGTTAATTTCTATGAAATAGAAAATATGAAAAGTTTATACCTGATAAAGATTCACTTCTCAGTGTTTCCAGCAGAAAGCACCACAACTATTACTAACTGGCCTCCAGCTTGACTGTTTGCATGGGGTGTAAGCTAATCTCTCCTTCTCTTGAGATTTTTTTTTGTTAGTTGCCTTCAGTGACATGAGGGAGCTTGAATTGTCATCATATGTGCTATACTATTATTATGATTGTTTATATGATGTAATGGATAAAAAAATTGGTAGGTATTGTATAGATTTGACACATCAACCGAGCCTCCTAAAAACTTGCCATCTATCTTTCCATTAGAAGAATACGATTTCTGCCCTCAAATCTTTAAATCCAGTATTTTTAACACAAGAAAGTGTGTGCACACAGGCATGTCATTTTGTTTTTAATAATTATATGTTTTTATTTTTCAGGCTAGCAGACAGAAAGATTGTCGACATCTTTTACACTGGTGCTCAGATATTGTCAATTATTTCTGGTTTTGCTGCAAGGAAGCTAGTTCATATGAAAAATTTATAGTAAGTTGTAATTTTAGAGTTGAATTGTAATATTCCAATACAGTATTTTACTGCAATAAATTATATTTATTATCATGGTTTCTTAACATTGTAGGGAATGTGGTGTGGCTTAGTTCACCATGTGGTCAATGAACATCAGTGGGCTAGTGGAAACGGCATCATTGAGGGACGGTGCAAACATGGTCCTCAAATGGATGAAAGAGAAAAGGAATGGCTAGAAAAGGGAAGCAAACCTCACACTGAAATGTGCAGAATAATTTTGGATAAAAAGTTTCTGAGAAACATCCCATACTTTCTACAGTTTAGGTATAATGAACTTGAATTGTGGATGATAGGTTGTCTGTTCCCTCCAAATTATTCTCTTCCCTCCCTGCTTCAGTTAAATGGAAACTGTATGCCAAAAATATAATTTTGCTTATATGCTAAATTGTTCAAACTATTATTTAGTAGTGTTACACCATGAACAAAATAAAAGCTAAATTAATTCTAAGTGTTGTAATTACAAATGAAAATAAAGGTAAAAAACCATTGCTTACTTAGGAATTACTCTTTTTTTTTTTTTTTAAGTTTTTCTGAACATTTATGTATAGTTATATAATAATTGTTTTCCTGACATTAAGATATTAAAGTGCTTCTGAAAACATATATATATTATTTTCATAAAGATCCATCTTTGATCTGGAGCAGTTTCAGCAGCATGTGCATATGTATGCTACCAAAAGATATGAATACACATACCCTGTCTACAGAGCAAGATGTTTTTTGGCAGCAATTGATTACAATATGCATTTGAACCGGCAAACCATGCACAACCCACAAAATCAGTTAATGTAAGTCTATTACACTTTATTTCCCTTGTCTTAGTTTGTACATTACAACAAATTAACTGTAACTTTCTGAAAAATAAGTGCATAAACAATTATCTCTGCCTGTATTATTATATATATATTATTGGACAAATTCTCAATATAGTTTTGCCAGTGGAAAATTTAGCACTCTTTCTTTATATTTAACCTAAGTTCAGGTTTCTTTGTAATTTCTGTGGAAGAGCACACAAGGTTACAGATATTTCTGTACTCAGATATGCTCAGAAAACACATGCCCTAGCCCAATTCCCAATCTCCAGCAGCTAGAATGATCCTAGTTCCAGTCATGAAGGAGAGCCATGGAAAAAAACATGATGGTATTCATGACTTTTCCATCTCACATAGGGTTTTTTTAGTCCATTTAATGCTGTATATCAGGGATGGGCAATTATTTGGACCCATGGGCCATAGAGGCAGTTCTGGGGAGCTGCTGCAGGCCAGTCGGCACCCTTCTCTTAAAAACAGCCCAGAGACTGCACCCTGCAGCTTCTCCCTGCCACCACCAATGTCCAGCCCTGACTCTGGCTTGCTCCGCACCTGCGGCCAGAGCAGACCAGCTGTGCACAGGCCCGACCCCAGCCCACCCGCACCTGCTCTGGCTCACCCACCTATATTGAGCAGTGGCAGCAGCTGGGAAGAAGCTGCTGCTCAATGCAAGGGAAAAGCAACCCCTCCCCTTTGCCACTTTTGGGCCCTTCTTACTGCAGCTGCCCAGAGCCTGCGCCTGGGCTGCTCTTCAGCTCCTCTCTGCCATGGTAACCACCACCTCCAGGTCATCCAGCAGGACAGCGGTGACAGTGCAGAGGCGCCATAGGGCAGCCTAGGTGCAGGCTCCAGGTGGCTGCAGCAAGAAGGGCCCAGCAACGGCAAAGGGCAGGGGCTGCTTTTCCCCCATGCCAAGCAGCAGCTTCTGGCCAGCTGCCTTTGCTGCTGCCACTGCTCAGTGTAAGCAAGAGAGTGGGGAGCAGATGTAGGGTGGGCTGGGGTTGGAGCTGTGCGTGTGGGTTCCAGATGGTCTGGAGTGGGTGTGGGGCAGGCTTGGTTGAGGCTGTGCATGTGGGTTCCTGCCAGTACCACAGGGTTGGAGCCAGTGGTGGCAGTCAGAAGGAGCCGCCATCATCTGGGCTGCCTAGAAAGGCAGTCTAGCTCTGGAACTGCCCCAGCCCCACTGTGTACCCATGGGCCGGAAGGAGCCTGCACCAGGTGGGACTGAGGGACTTGCTGCAGGCCAGACAAAGTCCCTCTGTGGGCTGGATCTGGCCCGTGGGCCATATTTTGTCTACCCCTGCTCTATATGGATCCCTTTCCACCTCTATTGTTATACTGGCAATAATTACTAGCTTCTGGCACAGAGAAGGTCAGCTAAGTTTCAAATGAAAGAATGACCTACAAAATCCTAGAAAATTTGCTGTATGTAGACCTGTGTGAGACCGGGTGCATGCATGAATTGGCTTTTACAATATGAGTGATAGGAGAAATGACTGGGTGAGTATATTCCATCTTATTGTGTTGTTTGGTATCTGTCTCTTCATTAAGAATTTTGGATAACTATGTATTACTTTCATGGTAAGCCTTAGAGCACCCCTTTTTGGTAGATTAGTAGTATTCCCATTTCAAGTATCAGGAGGACAAAGCACATTGAACCAGATCCTCAGTAGTTTTAAATTAGTATAACTTCACTGATTTCACCTAACGAACAAAAGGAATAAGGAATGAATTACTTTTGGGCAGATTGTAGGGTCTGATGTCATAGCCCTTAATTATGCAAGTTCAGGCACCAAAGAGCAGTGGTGTGGGCAATCTGGAAGGAGTCTAGTGCAGAGCAACAAAAATGATTAGAGACCTGAGGGGCAAGATTTATAAGGAGACTGAAAGAACTAGGGTTATTTAGTCTGGAGGGGAGAAGACTGAGGGGATATTTGTTAACTATCTTCAAATACCTGAAGGATGATTTTAAGGAGGAGGAGAGGGGCTTTTCTCTCTGGCTGTAGGGGACAGGACTAGGAGCAATGGCCTTAAGTTTCAGCAGGGGAAATTTAGGTTAAAGATTAGGAGGAACTTTCAGACTATGAAGTTTGTCAAGCATTGAATGAGCTACTTAGGTTGTGGAAATTCCATTCCTGGAAATTTTCAAGAGCAGGTTATACAGACACTTGGCTGGGATGGTTTAGTCAAGGATGATCTTGCCTTGAACAGGGGATTGGACTAGATGATTTTGTGAGGTCCCTTCCAGTCCTACTTTCTATGATCCTTTGCAAGTCAGTGTATGACTCAAGTCTTCAGAAGCTGGAGCAAAATTTATTGCTATGGTTATTTGATATGTGATATTTTAAAATTAGATTAATATTTTTTCTCGTAAGAAAAATAATTTTCACTTCCTTTTATAATAGATACCGTAGAATATACCATAGAAAATCTGGAAGGTGGACTTTGGTACCCAAGAAAGAAAATAAACCCTATGTATATATTGATAACATGATGGAGGAAATATTCCAACGCTGCCTGGAGACATAAAAAGATGTCCTGAAGGAGAAACACCTGGAACAAAATGTTTCACGATTTATTTCAATATGATTTATACTAATTAGCTGCTGTCACAATTTAAAAACAAAAATCCAGACTTATACTTACCACAATTACTAACTCCATTGCTTGGCTCTGTAGGAAGATATAATTATTTAACATTTAGTCTCGAATGGTTGTGAGCAGGAATCTTTCTGTACTGATAAAATTGCAAGAAATGGATAATCAGGTTTTAACTAATAACTTGCTGGCCTATTCTTAATTTTATATTTGTCTACAACATGTATGTACACTAAAATTTTGAGAGAATTCTCAAAGATTAAAACTACTTTTTGATACAAAGTGATATGCATATTATGTATGGTAATTTATTTGTTTTCAGTATGACACAATCTCATAGATTATAAACTTTTGTATTTATTTCAAACTATCAAAATGTCTTTTAAATAAAAGGATGCTCTTTTATGCTCACTGGGCCAATCATTTAATCTACTTTAACATTATTATATTTGATAACTATGCTTTGAATTTCCTTAGCAGTTTTCATTTTCACATTATTATACAAATAGCTTTATGACTCCTATCCAGTGCAACTAAACAATACTCTATGGGTGGGAAACTGAGAGGTAGATAAGTGACTTGTCCGTGGCTGCAGAGGGATGTGGTCTAAGGGCTGTGACAGTCTGTCAAGAATTTGTGACTAACAATCCTGAATTTGTGCCTCGTCTCTAATGTGGCAGTTTCTCAAGATTTGAAGTTTTCTACTTGATACATCTCCATGTTGTACATTCTTCTAAAATTATGAGGTAAATCTGCAGGTGATGATATGTTATCTGCATCTTCTCTGAAAATATATCCACTTGAAGACAGATCCTCTGTTTGTTTATACGGTTGTATCTATGGAAATACTTGGGTAACATGTTTCTTATCCTGGTTTTCTACAAGATAATAGTTCACTAATTCAGTGAAAGGGACTCACTTAATAAATGTTGCTACAAAAACAATGTATATTTTTAACAGGTAACATACTGTATTTACTGAAATACTAGACAAGGTGTTTTCTCCATTTAAGATGTGGGGGGAAAAGCCTCTTGTCTTGCATTTGACTACCAGCAAAAAGGACAGACAGCTGCTTGCAGCTCAAACTCTGATTCTGATCCAGGGTTGAGGGGGGCGCAAAAGGGCAGGGGCAGATGCCAGGGGATACAGGTACTGCAGGAGGAAGCAGGTGTCAAGGGGTGCAGGCACTGTGGGGGAGGGGCAGACAATGGGGAGGGGAAAGCAGGTTGGAGCAGACTCAATTTCATTGAGTCTGCTGGAGTGTGGTAATTACTGTCTGCGTCTTCTGTACCAGCATCCCCACACTTCAAAATGGTGGTGGGGGCTCTTGAACTAAAATTCGAACAATGAGCTTCAGTTCAAACACCCCTGCTGCCATTTTGAAGTGCAGGGACTCTGATACATGAGATGCTGCGGAGCTTTAATTAGACCGGCTCTCAGAACCACTCTAATTAAGGCGCCCCCACCCCCAGAGTACGTGTAAAAGTGCCTATAGAAAATGAAGGTTGCAAGGGACCTCAGGAAGTCATCTAATCCAACCCTCTGCTCAAAGCAGGACTATCCCCAGTTAGATCATCCCAGCGAAGGCTTTGTCTACCTGGGTCCTAAAATCCTCCGAGGATGGAGATTCCACAACGCCTCTGGGTAGCTTGTTCCAGTGCTTATACTACTCTCTTCATGGGAAAGTTTTTTCCTAATAGGCAACCTAAACTTCCCTTGCTGCAACTTGAGACCATTGCTCCTTGTTGTCATCTGTCACCATGGTAGTTGAACGCTGTTATTGAACCCCCGCTCAGTCTTCTCTTCTCCATACCAAATAAATCTAGTTCCCTTGGTCTCTCGTAAGTCATGTTCTGTAGCCCTCTAGCCATTTTATTGTCCCACTGGACTCTCCAAATTGTCCACATCCTTTCTGTGGTGGCGGGGCCAAAACTGGACACGGTACTCCAGATATGGCCTCGCCAGTGGTGAATAGAGGAATAGAATAACTTCCCTCTATTTCTTGGCAATGTCCCTACTAATGCAGCCTAGTATGCTGTTAGCCTTGACAACAAGACACTAGGCCTGTGTGAGTCGGCAGCGATCCAATCTGGCTTTGGATCTGGCCGCTTCAGATGCTAGCGATCCAATCTGGAGTTCTGGACTGGGTTTCTGCTTCGATCCGGCCGAAGTGGCTCCGAAGCTTTGGAGCCACCTCAGAGATCTGGCCATAAGGTATAATGGGGAATCAATTAAATATCTATAACTTTGTTGTTTTTTGTTTGATTTGGATGAAACTTGCAGAGGTGGTAGCCCCTGCTGAGAGCATGAAGTCTGCCAAGTTTCAAGGAGATCGGTATGGGGGCTTGGGGGGAACTACCCCAAATTCTTGAAAGCAAACTCATGTCACGTCTATGTATTATAACATAGGGGGGTCAAAACTGCAGGAGTGGTAGTTCCTGGTGAGGCCAAAAAGCCTGCTAAGTTTCAAGAAGATCAATGCAGGCGCTTGTGGGGAACTGCACCTCAAGCTGCGGACAAGCAAAACTAGTGATATGGGTGACACTGTGTGCGTTAAGGTGCAGCAGGCTGAAAGCTGCAGGGATGGTGGCCCCTGCTGCGGCCATGACGCCTGCCAGCTGTCAAGGAGATTGGTGCAGGGGCGTTCTGGGGCTCTGCACCCCTAGCTGCTGACAGACAAAACTCGTGACATGGGTGCTTGTGCAACTGACTGTCTCTGTCTTGGGGCAGTTGATTGTCTGTATTGATTATTTCCTCTCCTTAGCCTCTGCTTTTGTAGGTGTTAATTGATGGTAATTAACTGGCTACATTAGCTAGGTCCTGTGTATTGAGCTGGTCCCTAAGTGAATTCCTAAGTGTCCCTAAGTGAAATTGATTGGTAACTGGTAACACAGTAGCTTAGCAGCCAGGCCTGCAGTAGTGTCTCCCATGCCCCAAGATGGAGAGAGTCAGTTGCACAAGCACCGATGCCATGAGTTTTGCCTGTCAGCAGCTAGAGGTGCAGGGCCCCAGAAGCCCTGCACCAATCTCTGTGACAGCTGGCAAGCTTTGTGGCCACAGCAAGGGCTAGCAGGCCTGCAGCCTTCACTCTACTGCGTGTTAACACACAGTGTCACCCATGTCACTAGTTTTGCTTGTCTGCAGCTTGAGATGCAGTTTCCCCCAAACCCCTGCACTAATCTTCTTGAAACTTGGCAGGCTTTGTGGCCTCACCAGGGGCTACTACACCTGCAGTTTTCACTCCCCTGTGTTGTAATACGTAGACGTGACATGAGTTTTGCTTTAAAAAAATTGGGGTGCAATTCCTCCCGAACCCCCGCACTGATCTTCTTGAAACTTGGCAGGCTTCATGCTCTCAGCAGAAACTACAATCCCTGCAAATTTCATCCAAATCAGACGAAAAAACAACAAAGTTATAGATATTTCATTGTTTCCCCATTGTACCCTATGGCCAGATCTCCAAAGCGGCTCTGACACTTCCAAAGCACTTCGGAAGCGCCGAACCATTACGGCAAGCCTAACAAAGCCAGCGCTTCGATCTGGACATGATGCTTTGGACGCCGAAGCGTCCGAAGCTTCTCCGGATCCAAAGCTCTGTCCAAAGCCTTGCACAGCCCTATAAGACACACTGTTGGCTCATATTCAGCTTCTAGTCCAATGTAACCCCCATTTGCAATACTTTTAAAATAAATGCTTCTCCCCAGAAAGTAACAAGCATTCACCATTGTGAAAGTTAATTTCTCAGCATCTACTTTTATTTTCAAACAGCCTCTTTTTAAAAATTTCCTTCAAGTTAAGTTGTAGAATGAAGGGACACAGTAGTGCTCACCACCTAGTGTTTCATTCCATGGATGAAAAAGTTCTGAAATTGAGTAGTTATCTTTTCTTTAAAGTTATGTAATTCAAGTTGCCCATTTTCTTCTGAACCTGTTTCTATCTTGCTGGTTGTGAAGGTGGTGAAAAATTGGAATAGCCTATTTAGAGAACCTGTAGAATGTCCATCCTTGGAATTTTTCCAAAACAGGCTACACAGCCACTTAGCTGAGATAGTTTAGTCAAGAATGAATGCTCCTGCCTTGACCGTGTGAGGTCCGTTCCAGCTCTATTTTCTACAATCCTATGATCTTTTTAGAGGGTTCACATTCCCCAGGAGGAAGTCAGCCCAGTAGACCAGTAAAATACCCTAACTCCTTTTCTGCAGCCGGTACTGGTGCATGGGATTGTCCAAGCCTCCAATGTTTAGGTCTCTCTGCATCCTAACCCTACCCTCCGGCATATCTACTACTCCCCCAGCTCGGTGTCATCTGCAGACTTGCTGAGGCTGCACTCCATCCAATCTTCCAGGTCGTTGATGAAGATATTGAAGAAAACCAGCCCCAGGACCAACCTGCACTTGGGGACTGTACTTGATACCAACTGCTAATTAAACATCAAGACATTGGTTACTACCCTCTGAGCCTGGTGATCCATCCAGTTTTCTATCCACCTTACGCTCCATTCATCCAACCCATGCTTCCTAAATTTCCTTGCAAGAACGTTGTGGGAAATATAGCAAAAGCCTTGCTAAAGTCAAGATATATCACATCCATTGCTCTCCCCGTATCCACAGAGCCAGTCATCTTGTCACAGAAGACAATCAGGTTGGTAAGGCAAGACTTACCTTTGGTGAATCCATGCTGACTGTTCCTAATCACCTTCTCCTCCTCCAAGTGTGTAGAATTGGAATCCTAGAGGAACTGCTTCATGATTTTTCCAGGGACTGAGGTGAGGCTGACTGATCTGTAGTCCCCTTGGATTTTCCATCTTCCCCTTCTTAAAGATGGGCACTATGTTTGCCCTTTTCCATCATCCAGGACCGCTCCCAAAAGCCAAAAGTATTCAAAGATAATGGCTAGCAGCTCTGCAATCACATTGGACAACTCCTTTCTAAACAACCCCTAACCTGTTCTTTTGTCATTATCAGTTGCTCACCTCCCCCTCAAACTGTGCTGCCAGGTACAGTAACCTGGGAGTTGATCTTTCATAGATTTCATAGACATCAGTGCTGGAAGGGACCTCGGAAGATCATCGAGTCCAGCCCCCCGCCCAAAGGGCAGGAAGTCAGCTGGGGTCATAGGATCCCAGCAAGATAAGCATCCAGTTTCATCTTGAAG